TTAATTAAATAAAATAACTTTTATTTTATTACAACCTTTAATTGATTTAAAATATTTATTTAGTACAGGTCTTAATGTCCTTGGTGTACGGGTAGGCCTTACAGGAGCCGGCATCACCCATAGCGATAATCTCATTCAGGATCTTTGTCAGTGCTGCCAACTCGGTAGCTGTACAGTCGGTCTACAAAATTAATTTAAATTAATAACACATTTTACATAATAGATAATATGCTAGCTCACTTTTCCAGCCGATGCCAGACAGTCATTGGCCACCCATGAGATACAGCACCGGTACTTAATGTCAGGGTCCTGCATGTCTAAGTTGGGAATTTTTTCGTATAAGCATTTGGTAGCATCCTGGTCACTTTTCTTAGCGCATGGATCATTCTGTAAGTCTTGAGTCGGATCGTTGGAAATAGCACCAAGGAATTGATTTATGGAGCCTTGTAGTGGGGAACTGTAGGCGCAGTGAGCCACCAAAAATATAGCTACCAAAGTTATGCGAATCATTTTAATTAGTAATATATTTACTGTTACTTTAGAAACTGTATTAATGTTTGAAAAGAATATTGAATATTTATAAGAGTTTATGAAAGTAAGGGTGCCGTGGGATTTAGCTACCTGTGCTTTCATAATCTATTAGTTAATTGTTTTTCTATATATTATCGAAAACAACAAGTAGGCAGTATTTTATTATCCTTGTGCAAGGATAGATATTACTTATTATATTAGGAAATACTGATTATATGGCAGACTTATAGGTGTTTGCTAACCCCTAACTGTTTAATAAGTTTAGGTTTAAGCTTAATAATTACACATTTTCTATGAAATATTATTGCCAAAGAATTAGTTAATAATCAATAGTTTATTAAAGTAATTTATGAAAGTATTATATTTTATTTGTAAACATGTATGTATGTTTAATTTATATATGGTCATTTGAGTTGTTTTTCAATAACTTATTCTTTAATATAAGATACTGAATATGGGTGGAAAATTTAATTTTATATGATCAATTTAAACTAAGTCTTAGATTATTAAAATACTTAAATTATCATATAGCTGATTTGTGAAATTAATAAATTTACTATACTTTCTCATGATAACCACTAAATCGATTATCATAAATTATATTATTTATTTGAGTACCTCCCTTAATACACGTCTTATTAAATAAATGATTTAAAAAGGAAAATTATTGCAATGTTAAAAATATACAATTATAAATTTGATTTTAATAATATTTATTTAATTAATTAATTTATGATTAATTCTGTGAAAGTAGATTTTGTTATATAATAGTTTTAATTAAGGATTCTTATAAGAAATTACATTATATGAAGTTTTATCATAGAGTAAAACAATTTTAAAAATAATTATATTTAATATATTCAATATAATCATAATTTATTTATAATATAAGGTAAAATAAATAATGTTTGTATTTAACATTAGATGGAAATATGTTCATCATATAAATACAGTATAACAATTCAATTCAGTGAATTGACATTAGAGAATAAATACTCATAATATTATACTG